CTGTAGCCCTAACATCAAGATTCTCCAGACAGTGGTTAGTCTGTGACGCATTTATTTCATATATTTCCTTTACAAAGATAATTCAGAAATCAAATAAGGGTGAGCACACTTGGTTTCTTGGTTCTATTTAACCCCTTTTACATCAAAGAATCATAACTGTCTGTCAAAGCAGATTGTGGAGATAATACCGTTACCCAGTCAAGGTTTGGTTATATGACAGATTTGTCTACACTGCTTGAGTCAATTGTATTGATTGGATATTTTCCAAATCTCGATGCAGTGTGGACTCCAGCTGAGTGACAACATTCATACAAATGGCATCAGTAACTCATAACATTTAAAAATGGACTGTTTCTTTGACTGCATGGTTGTTGGCTACATCTTGGTAAAATGTGGTTGGAGCTGTTAGCTCAGCTTTCTCACTTACTTCAAAAAGTATGCACCGTCTGTCCCCATCTGTTATGTGATCCCAGGCTAAATCACTGTGCATGCGCTGTGTTCTTACTTTGCAGGGTAGTGCTTTTAGAAAGGTGTTCTGTAAAAGCCTCCAGGTGTCAGCAACCTGCCCAAATGGTTCCCATTACATCTGCTGGGAGGTGACGACATATCAAATGTCATGGGCACCTCTCTGAGCAGCTAATTGTGTTAAACTCTAAAATAACCATGTGTTTGTTTCTTCTAAGCCCAGATGCCTTTGAGTTAGCAAACTAACTGAAATCGCCATAAAAATCTCACCAGCATGGACCTTCTACTGCGTTTTGCCTGCTTACAATGAAAGTAGGCAGAGAAACTTCATTTAGAGGCAGTCAGTCTCATGAATGCCTGTCAGTCGGTATGAAGGACTGGCTGATCTCATTAGATCAGTTCTAAAGTGCTTGTTACTGTTTTCAAGCCAGACATGCAAATCAAAATCAAAATCTTCCAGGAGAAGTGTGTGAGTATACCTAGGCAGGTTATAACAACCACCACAGGGAGCCATGCTGATTACTGTAGTACAACCTACCCACCCACCCCTCACTAGCTTACAAGTAAATGAGTCTCAGACTATGCTTATTTTATTTGGCTTTGATAATTACTGAGGCGTAACCCCTAATCTGCTCTTAACTGCTGGCCTGGCTACCTCCCCACCAGTGTACCCCAAATACTTGCTGTTTCTCTTGGTCACATGTTCATGGTCCATCTCCTCTCATGGTGACTTCCTCTTCTCCTCTCCTTCTTTCTCCTTTTTCTCCTCCTGTCTTCTCTCCTCCCTCTTTTTCTTTGTCTCTCTGACCCTCTGTCTCTCTCTGTCTCTAAGTCTGTCTCTCTGTCTCTCTCTGCCTGACTCAGCCCCTCTCTCTCTCTCTCTCTCTCTCTCTCTCTCTCTCTCTCTCTCTCTCTCTTCCACACCCCCTACCAGGTAACTCAAAACCCACCTACCTCTAATCCCTCCAGTAATTGGTTGTAGCCAATTTTATTTAATCAATAGAATATAAAAGTGAGAATTCACTTGTAGGCCTTCCAGTAAAGAATTTAGCATTACAATACACAGCAACAGAGCAAATCTCAGCAGATTACTAAAGTAAGGGAAGGGAAAGAAAAGGAGAGGTAATGAGTGGGACTATAAAAACCAGAATCCAAAAAGTAACAGTCTAGGAGAAAACAAATACCATTGAGGATGGCATTTAACACAAAGTGTCAGTGTTTGGTCGATAAAAACCAACCCATCGAACAGGAAAATGGGTTGACTTCTTAGTCTGGTAAAATGTTAAAACTTGGCATCACAAAGAAGCCACTGTGATCTTGAAGTGAATCGGTTCTCTATTGGGGACAAAGAAGGTTCAGTGCTGATCAGAATGCACTCAGCCAGTTGCTTTAGTTTTGAGTACCAGGCTTAAAGAGAGGATTGGCAGCTCTGCCTTGTCTCCAGGAGGGGAGAATCCCAGATCTTAGTCATGTGATGAACAAGAGAATGTGAGGATATACAAATTAAGAAAGCAGACCCAGGAGTCCCATTTGACTCCACAAACCTGAAGTTCTGTCTTGTGGAAATGGATTCCACTGGTTATCTACAGAGATGGGCAATAAGAACAGTGAATAGAAAATGTCCAGAAACAAAGAAAAGCCCTTTACCACTTTGCCTTGTTAACAATTAAGCTGCTGCCTAAGGAAGTGATGTGCTTGGTACTGGCTGCATTTGGACATGGGTCACCTAACCACCTCTCTGGAGTGAGGAGTCTGATCTCTGGGTGGAAATGGGATTGTAGAGTCCAGTTCTGCTCCTGAAATTCTTTAAATCCGTGAGGGACCATTGCCTTTGAAAGGTGTGCAATGTTCTGCATCTTATTTCTTTGGAAGAAAGAAGAGATAAAGCCCTTAGAAGGCCAATAGGTTTATTTTACTGCACTTGAGCTTAATAAAGAAAACTATAACTTTCCATTTTCAGAATACCCCACTTATACATAAATAAGCTTTTCTTTTAAAATCCTGGGTCATTTACTAGTCTTAGCCAACAGGGAATCTGAAATGGCATAGATTACATTTTCAAAACACACAAACTTAAGAGCTGAAAAAAGCCGAAGCAATTGTACATATCAACACACTTGCATTGACCCTACTCTTTAAAGATGGGAAATAAACTGAGCTTAGAAACTCTAGGGGACTTTTATTTACAAGGTAAGACAACACAGCTGGCAGTGTGGCAGACATTCATGACAGCAGACATTTGCCACTCTGCTGAAAATGCAAGCTGTTAGTCAATAAGATAGTCTACTGAATAGCATACAGCAAGTTTATGGAATGCTACATTTTAGGAGATGTTACCATGCACTCGGGTCTGCTCTTATTAACAGAAGCAACTTGCTCTTTCTTTCTTCCTTTCTTTCCTTATTTATTTATTTATTTATTTCTAAGTATATAGTCTGTGAGCATCTTTGCAAACACAGTACTATTTATTAAGTTGGGTGCTTGATGAAAGAATGTCTTTGGATTGTAAACTATGGAATAGAACATAAGACAGCACCTGCCACCTCCAACCCATGAGGATCTATATTATGCAGCACCATTTGCAATGCCAAGAGAAAACAAACAAACAAAAACAACAACAACAAAATAAACTCAAAACCCAGGGCTGGAAAGCCCAGAAGAGACATCCTCCAGCTCACCCATCTTATTCAGTCTTTTCTTTCTGGATTGCCACTGCATTTTGAATGATACAGGAGATAAGAATCTTGCTGTTCTGGAAAACACCACCTTCTCTTCCAGTGAAACCATGTTAATGTTTATTTTCTCCAGTCTGCAATGTCATAAACCTGCCGGGATTCAGCCTTCTGTACAGATATGATAAGTATAACATTTTCACAAACAGGAATTCTTGAGAGTCAGGCAAATGTGACTTTGAAGCTGAAACGTTTACAATGCCTTTGACACGGTGGGTTGTGATTCTGTACTGTTGTGCTTTTGAAAAGAAAAAGAAGAGAACCCTCTGTTTGGAAATTAGAATCTTTCCTCTGGGGTGTGACACACATATGTTCCTAGTCAGACAAAGGCTAGATAATGACTGATGGGCTCAGGTCACCAAGAGTATTGAGGGAAGATTTTTGTGATATGTGGAAGTTCAAGGCACATTATGCAGACTGCATGATATTTAGGGGTATACAACAACAATATCAAAACTTCTAGGATGTCCTATAAAGAAGAAAAGGTATCATTATTAGTAGAGTTCCCATTCTGATCTTGTCAACTGTCAACATTAATGAACTCATCAATGGGATATATCCATCTTTGTCCCTTCGTCACTCAGGAAATATTCTGTGGTATTTGCCTCAGATGGCCCTGGAGTGATTGCGTGGTATATCCCCAACCACATAAATCTGTTTTATGAAAACAAAGGTATTTGGGTTTTCTGTGCAGGAGGCTGTTGGGCATGAGCCACATAAAACTTCTCTGCCCTTTTTGTGCTCAGTTATAGCTGGATGGAGCGGGGTGGAGGTTGAATGGGAGACGGGTAAGCAGAGGAAATGTAGGTCAAGTTTGCTTCTCATCACCACTTCGTGATCAATGCAACTACAGCCGCTCTCCCTTCTCTCTGCTCCACAGACAGCCAGCACCATGAGCCAATGCCGCCCCCTCACCGCCTCCTGCTCCCATCAGGCCAACCAAGTGGATAAACCCAGGGGAACAGAAGGAAGATCTTTTAGGATGAGCTGTATTCACTATTTAGAAATAGCATAACTGTGTGCAAATTGTTTTCTCAAGAAGTAGGGGTGGAGACGGAAGCATCCATTGTTAAATATTGTTCCCAGCCAGTTCTAATATTAAAAATTTTCCCTCCCACTATAGTCAGAACCCTGTTTGCTCTCATGGGTCTTCAGTCAAATCTCTTTGTTTGCTCTCATGGGTCTTCAGTCAAATCCACTTGAATTACAGGAGACTCTTCTGACCTAGGCTTTAATTTTGCCTTTCTCTCAGACATGTTAAGGAACATGCCAAGTTGGCCTCATGTTTACTGTGTATCTTTATCTCAAAGTGAAGAGTAGCAAATCCACTCTTCTACTTCTCTCTTAAAGTTTTGCTAAAGCTGAGTTGTGCTGTTTTTTGTAGAATATTCATAACTAACTTGAGACACTTTTGTTTTTGTAAAAATAGAAAAATAGTAGATAAAGCCAGAATGACAACACATTTGAGACTCTCAGCATAGACCAGAAGATGGAGTGAGATGCCTAAAATCTGGCAAACTGGAGCTCAAGGACGCTGACTTTGAGAAAAGAAGTCTCGGGTGTCCAGTTTCTCAACGATTAGCCTCTCCTAGTCACTCATCTTGGGCTACTCGTGAGGGTGGGAATTGTGGCACTCATTAAATAGTCTTAAGACCTCCTTTTGCAAGTTTAAAGACCAATTTCTCCCTGGGATGGGGCAACACTAGCTCCTGAGATTCCGGGCTGGGTATGGTGTGTAGAGGCTCAATCATTCTGACCCAGTTTTTTTTTTATTTTTTTTATTCTGTTTCTGTTCCCTTCCAGATTTCTCAGCATGGCGGCTCCTCTACGTCACTTTCATCCACAAAAGTCTGCAGCTCAATGGATGAGAACGATGGCCCTGGGGAAGGTGATGAGCTTGGGAGAAGGCACAGCTTGCAGAGGGGATGGAGGAGGGGTTAGCTGAATTTACTTTGCAAACTATAACATCTGAGACACAATGGGTAGACAAACCTCAGCAGCTCCTGTGGGACTCTCACTGGGGACAGGAGTGGGTGATTCCTACAGGGGTTAGCACTCACTGTCTGAGAATGGGAAGGAGGAGGAGTTGGCCCAACTGAATCCTTTCACGTCCTCTGTGGGTGTGATACCTAAGAACACCAGCAATTGCCTACCTTTGTGCTCCCCTGCTCTCCTCCCTTTCCATAAATGAAAAGACAAATGTGTCTTGTATATGAGCACCCATAGGTGGGCTCCAACCTAAGGGAGTTCAATCCATAAAACTACATAACTTCTTTTCACTGCTGGTAACTCCAAAGAAATACTACTTGTCCCTTAAACTAATTAGCATTAGAATTTCTCCATGACATAAGGACCTGGATTGCTGAGTTGACTCTTTGCCAACTTGCTGTATGGTTTGGGATAAGCTTCTTTAGTTCTTCATATCTTAGTTCCTTTTTAATAGAAATGCAGATTATTAAATGTCACTATTCCCACCCCTGGGGATGGAATCAGGCTCAAATCAATTAGGGGAAACCATCTGTAAAAGTAAAAGTGTATGAGGATTAACCACTGTTAAGAATAAGCTCCTCTTGCTTCAAATGGAATGACTTGATATTTTCCCAAAGATATATCCTGTGAGGGAGACTCTGACATTAAGCAACACATGTGACTCCTATGTGACTTGTTTACGTTTGTCCAAGTTTGTAATTCAGCCATGTAAAAGCCTCTTTCACTCCAGTGTGCTACATTCACCCAGTGAAATGTGATGGTCCTTGACGAAACCTGTTTCCAGAGGGACCAGCTCCTTTATCAATAATTAGTAGAAAAACCCCAGATACTGTGTCTTGTGTCTCGGTGAATGTTTCCACTGGAAGAGAAGACAGATGACCTCTCCCTATTCCCCATCTGTAAGATAACAAATATCTGAAAAGTCACAGACAACTACTTTGTTACCCATGTACAGAGTCTAAGACCCTGTTATCTGGGAGATGGTTTTCAAATTCAGATAAACCACAATCATGTCTTCCCCTCCTCGTGGAGAAGGTGAAAATCCCTAGGTTGAGTATTTCAAACATAGGCAAAATCATGACTCTTCCTGGATGGGCTAAGAGAAGGGGCTTTGACTACATCATTCACTTTATTCTGGACATTGCTAAGGTAGCTTCTCGTGATCCAGGAGGGAAATGCCCTCCACAGTGTGGAGGCTGTAAAGACACTCACACTGTAGAGCATAGTAGAGACATGTATTTTAACTATACTATCTAGAAAAGCCACCCCAGTCATGCAGCCTGAGCGCTGTGAAGACAGCCCAAGAAACTGCAGATGAATTTCCATTCATCCCTCCCTAGTACCACATATGAAATATGAACTGTAAAACTTACCAGAACCACACCCCCCACAACATCCAAATTTATTTTGAGGGTAAAATCTCACTTTATGAGGACATGTTATGAGAGGCACATAGTTAGGAAACTTACTAGGATCCTATCCCATTTTGCACACAGGTTGCCTGGGGGAGAGCTGAGATTTATAACTTTAAAGCTTGTACATTTTACAGCCCAGCTTTAAAGGGTTTTTAATACCCTCGACATGTTAAAGGTGATGCATCATGTTTATGTGACCCAAGCATGGCTTATTTAATTTTATAGCCTTGGATATTTAAGGCATTATTAGCCATTTGTAAAATATTTCAGAGTACATTTTCAGAGGGATAACATGTTATGTTATTACAAAAACTGTTCTGCCCACAGACATAATAGATATCAGGGTTTAAACTCGACATCTGTCATGCAGGTTGCTTGGTGAGAACATTTGTCTAAAATCTGCTTGCTGATATGAGGGAGGGGTGGCCAGCAACACTTAGTGCATAAAGAATTTTGCAGAGATTTCCATTTTAGGACAGTGTCAAGCTCAGTGTCTAAACAACCGAACCTATTCACACTTTTACAATGTAAAACTGCCCAGAGTCCCTCCAGAAATGTCTTTCCCCTCTGTCCTGTACACAAATATGTCATTTCTCTGAACACAATGGGTATTCAGTGGGGGCTATTGATCAAACTATCATGAAGTGCAAATGCAGGATTTCCTCCTGAGTCCCACTGAAGCAGAAACATGCGTTGCAGTGGTATGGGTCCAGGTGGACTCAACAGGTTTTCTTTTAATTTATCGTTTGCCTTGGTAAAGTCCATTGAGTCTGTATGAGCCTGCGGGGGCGGGGAGGGGGCTGCCCGTCTTACTTCTGAATCAGCTCCAGTCTGTGAGGAGACAGTTAGCAATGTATCTTAAAAACAACATCTGTGGCCCCTTCTCCATCAATAAAGACACACTAATGATTCTTTCAGAAGAGTCTGATGAAGGTTTCCAGATTCCTGCCACAATAACAGAGAGATACAAAGTTGGAAGAACAATAGGAGACGGAAATTTTGCTGTTGTCAAAGAATGTATAGAGAGGTGAGTGGGGGGCTTGTCAGTGTGGTAAGTTAAAGAAAAACTTGTCTTTCATGCTTTCAGACAGAGACACATATGGCTTAAGTTAATGTCTCAACCCGGGAGACAAAAGAGTAAAAAATAATAAAGAAAAACAACCTAAGAACAGACTTAGGAATGGGATGATGTCTAAAAGACTTCATATAAAGGCTTTGATTTTTACTTAGTGTATTCAGAAAGCTTTCCAGTCTTGTCAGGGTAAAGTTTTTATATTATTTTATGGAGAAGTCATTTTGAAGGTCTCTTCAGGAATGTTTATTTATAGGATTTGATCTCTCAAATGTACCATCATCAAACATATAGCACATTAACCTTGAAAGGTTTTTAAATGCATGTGTGCTGAGTCTACAGAAATGGTATTTGATCTGTGAAAATGTCTTCACATGGATAAACTACAGACCCTGTTGTTTTAGACTCAACGTCATTTCAAGCTGTCCTCAGACTCCCCATCCTCCTCCCTCTTCCTTCTGAGTGTTAGGAATACAGGCATGCTCCCATGCCCTGTTTATCTACAAGTTCTTGATTACTGCTCAAGGATGGTAGCTGGTGGCTACCAAGTAGAGAAGTGACGGCAAATACTGCATCAGTCTAAATGGAAGTGACCTCAAACAGCTCAGTGTCAGACTCGGAGTTCTTTTCCAGGCAGTTGCTTATGTTCACATCTGTATAGCTGGCATCTTCTCAGACCTGTGCTGGAGGCATTCAGCTCTTTTGAGGGGATCCCTCTGGTTCTCTAGAGAATGGCTTTAATGAAGCATCTAGGTTTCCCTACTCCTAGTGAGTTGGACCTTCCTTGAGTTTAGGAGCCTGTATCTCTGTCCTATCTCATACCACTACCTAGAGAAGGCACCTCAGGCCAGGAAACAGATAAGGACACAGAAGAGCCAGGCCTGGCACTTCTCAAGAAAAGTGGATTTGAGCCACTTAGAACTGGAAGCCTGCCTAGGGTATCATGCATCACCAGGATTCTTAGTTGAATCAGCATCCACTAAGTACTCCCTGCACCCCAGCACAGCCCATTCCATAGGGCAAAATCCCCACAAAGTGACCCTCATAAAGCAGCTCTCAGATTTCACTCCTCTCATTATTCCAGCTGGACTAGGATGCTCACAACAGCATAGCAACCTACTGTTGCTATGTTACTTTGCATGAAGTAGGTAGAGTCATGAGTAATGGTGGTATGAAAATCTCCCCTCCCCTTCTGTAGTCTGCAGCCCCTGCCCATGGAATATTGCCTTCAATTGCCTGACTGCCAGACACAGAAAATATTCCATTATCATCTTGGGCTCCACCCCTGCTGAAATAGGACTAACCAATATTTACTGAGGATCTATCTATTCATGGTCCTTAAATTATAGTATTCCACTGAATTACATTGATCCAATTGGGTCAACATTGCTGCCCCCATTTTATAAA